GCGATGGTGATTTGCACATGGATGATCTCTGTCTGCGCATCAGCTGCAGCAACCAATGGCATCAACTTGGAACAATGAACCTGCCATCCAAATTACATGGAAGTTCATGGACTGTATGTGAGGCCACCGGGCTGGGTATATATATATATACGAGTAACCCGAACAAGAACGCAAGAGCAGCAAGCATGTGGCAAACCAGCACTGATTTCAGCAACATGTTGTGGTCCATGGACCAATTCGTCCAACAAATTGGTAAGCGAAACATCGCGAAACCCAAACACCAAGACTTCCATCCCATTCCCATGGTCCATCCATCGACCTTCGACCTTCAACGAAGCGGAGCGAAGCACTCTCGACCTTCGACCTTCGACCGTCGGACCGTTCCGGTCAGGGAGAGAAAACAAAGGTTGGGCGGCGAGCACAGGGAGCACTGCGGCGCACTGCCAAGATGAGTCGGTTTTTGGTCGGGTTTGTTCGGTGTTTTGGATTCGGATTCTGTTTGGGATGCAACCAAACCAGGATTGAGACCCCTAGCAGCTATAGCACTTAATAGCTTTGTAAAATGAAGACCTCCAACAGCTGTTGGTTCCGCGAATACCCTGCAAAGAAGGGCCCCACAAACCTGGATCAACTGCCTCACACGACCCTGACACGAGGCAGCCCTGCCTACCCAAGTAGCGTACGAGGCACAGGTTGCATGGGCGATCTAGCCGCTATCTGGCCCTCACCTCTAAACCAGCGTCACTTGCTTCACTTTTACTTAACTTGTTAGCTATTCTTGTATCTTGTAAGTCCGACCAAAGACTACAAAATCCATCTTACTGTCCCACACTTTGGAGGGCCCAAGTATTGAAACCACCGAGCTGGTAGCAGCTTGCTAACAGGATCTACAGCTTCTCTTGTGGGCCCCAACTGCCGCTTCTGTTGCCTCAACTTTCTTCCGCCCGCCCTTTGAGCCAATGATTCTGAAATGAGGCGCTGGAGAGGTGGAGCAGTGCCACTCAAACCCGAAGATACAAACGGACTTTTGTGGTTGTGAACGCAGAAAGCACAGGGACTGGTCATAGTACCAGTGTTGGACATGAAGAATGAACATCAAAATTTCGAGACGTCAAAGCTCCCTTGGTCACAATCCGTGTCTGGCCAAACCCAAATGACTCCAGCACTGCCAGGATAGACCCCGGAGCCCTGAATCCCGTCCAAAAAGCAACAGGCCTGACCAAATGACTAATCGAACCACAGGACAGCTCTGAGCTCAGTACATAGTTGCCAGCTGCACCCAAGCACGTGACCTTCCTGCCACCGGACACCCGCCACAGGACCCATGAACAAGGAAGAGGCCATGGACAAGGAAGAAAAGAGTGTTTCAGCTTTGAAACAACCCCACCTGAACAAACCCCAGAATTGATACCCAAAAATATATTGATGTATCACTCACTATGTCTCTATTTGCAGTGTTTCTCAGGTTTTCAGGTGAACAGTGTGAACATATGTGAACTGTTCACTATCACACATTCTCATTCCACAACGAATACAACATCCACTTCACTACCATTGATAATTGTATATACTGTAATTGATTATATATTTGATCATATTTGAGTATGTATACATCATCATTGGCATACTATTGTAACCTCTTAAGTCTTATTCGCCAGTCCTGGGCCATGTGATCGTGTTCTTTTGGGAAGGCCTGGGCGGCGTTCCGTCGGGTGGCAAGACAACAGAGGCTCCCGTGCCGAACGTGGAAGCGTCAGCCGAGGAAGTTCGCAACTGCCAACGAGCGGCAGTTTTTGGGGTGTCACCGAGGGTGAAGAAGGTGGGTAGCTAGTGATTACATGCAGTGCAATGACCCGGTCTTGCAAAGCTTGACATCGCCAATACTCCAAGACATATTAGTTGTCCAATGTTTTCCAAAGAATAGTTTAATTAATGTAGGGTGATAAACAAAACACCTCCATATGGAGAGGTTTCACAATTCTTTTTTTCGTGAATGCCTGAAGCCTACAGCCGTCCACAAGTACCTGGAAAAAACCATTGTTTAAGGCTCCAGCTGCTTGGTACTCAAGTTGTAGACCAGGCCAACGCTCTCCTGGCGCAGAACTCGGCCGCTGCGGCACAGAATCGTCGCTGCGGCCAGGATCCACTCTCGTTGTACACCCTGCTCTTCGAGAGAGGTCGATTCTGAAAATGCTTCTGCCTGCTTCTTGTTCCCTAAGACCAGTGCTGTCAGGTTCATTATAACATGTTATGTCATGTTGTCAGGTTCTTGTTATGTTATAACTCCCAGAACTGGAGACATTCGTGTTGACCAATGGTACTCTTCCAGAACACATATGATACCAGTCTACCCCAACCACAAGTGGTTGCTTGAAACGAACCCAGCCGCAGATTGATCTCTTAAAAGGCACTTGTCTTCTTCTTTGGATAGACTGCTAGACTATGATAGGCTCCGGTAACACCTGCTCCTCCTGTAGCGGATCCACAGCTGTCAGCACTTCACATCCACACGTGCGCATGGTGCGACATTCATCCGCCTGAATCAGGAGCAGCAACTCATTGCCTGTCGCAGTGTTGCCACACGGCCAAGCACCACGCCGGTTGCCCTTGCGCCATCAATTGTCCCTGAATTGATGAGTTGCTGCATGGTTCATAAGTGTTAAAATGGGGAACCTTGCACTGGTTGGTTTTAGAAACCTCAAAAGGAGCAAGTGGACCACGGGAGCTTCTGTTTCCTTCTTCTTCTTCTTCCAGCGGCTAGCGGAAGCCAGGTGCAGGCAAGGGCGCTTGCAACGGGCGTCAACTCATATGATGGTTCGCAAAGAATCCCTGCATATAGATGCTGTGGAGTCCAACAATACACTGTACCCACACACCAATGTACTAGGGTACTATGGTACTCATTGTTAATTACACTATGATTATTTTTTTGTTACACTAGTGGTACTCCTATGATGGTTCCTTTTTCCAGGGACCCCCCACCGTTCCGGTTTCAGTGTCGTTGAAAGGTCCGCCTGGGAGCACTGCAATCCGTGGCACGTGCTTCCCGTCGAGGGGGCACAACTCTTCGAAGGAGAGGCCCGTCCTGGTCGAAGCGGTTTCCGGTGGAAAGAGCGGGTTCATGATGTTCAAAAAAAAGCAGGGGAGCCACATGCGGAAGAGAATGATACAGTAGATGATAGACTATGACATGTTCCTGCGGGATCGAAAAAGATAATAACGTCCAAGCTGCAGTGGAGCTGAGTGATGTTGAGTGGGCGGCATGAATCTGTGCGATGAGTGGCATTCGTCCCAGCGGGAGGTCCGAAGCGACGGCCGAGGACCCGGCATTACACTTGGAAGCACAAGAAGCTACCAAAGTAACAAGTGCATCGCTTCTAGTAACAAGTGCCTTACTAGTAGTAACAAGTGCCTTACTAGTAGTAACAAGAAGCTACTAGGAACAAGTGCATCGCTACTAGGAACAAGTGCCTTACTAGTAGATATTTAGAGATTGAGGCAATGATCACTTGAGAATGGTTGCGCACATTTTTACCCAGCAGTTGCGACTCAGGTTAGGTGAAGCGCGCCACCACGCAGGTCACGTTGTCTTGCCTTAGTCGAATCAAAAATAGGTTGATGCTTCTGGACCTGCTGAGCCTCCAAAACTGGATCCGGTCTGCCTAGCTTCACCGCACCCAGCCAGCTGAGGCATGAGATAGAAGCACAAACTTCTTGTTACTAGTAGCGATGGCCTCCAACCTAATAACGATGGCCTCCACCTAGTAGCTTCTTGTTGGAAACTCAGAACCTAAAGGTTCGACTGGATTCATCGCTAGTTCCCCCTCGTTCATGTGCATCTGGCAGTGACAGCTAATGTGCATGCAGGTTCTTAGGGTTTCCCAATGATGGAGAAAGAGAGCCTGATTCCCATCACCCATCACCGAATGGGCCCACTAGCCAATAACTCGTTCAGACACTCTCGCCCGGCCCCTTTGGGGGTTCGTGACAGCTCCGTTGAAACCACACTTGAGGTGACATGGCGTGAAAGGGGGACGGAAGTCGACTGTGTTTCTCCAGATAGGCTGCTGAATAGATCATCTTGGATTTAGAAGAAATTGATCCCTGGAGTCACTCTATCGGGGCTCCACTTCGTTCGCAAAGATTGATGACTTGGATAAGTCTCCTTCACTAAGACGAGAGCTGAATTGATCTTCCAGCTGACAGTCTGGACAGTCCGGACAGACTACCCACTCCTCTCCACCGCCACCGCCGGCGGCTCCTCCGCCCAGGCACTGTCTCGGATCCGCCAAGGCGGCCTTCACGATGCTCCGCGCCGCTGCTTCGCAGGTGCTACCGTTGGAGCCGCTCGCACCGGTCACCAGCCTGAGAGCGCTGGTAGACGAACATGGAATCACCGGGCTTTTGAAGTGAGTGATCTGCAAAACCTATCATGCATATTATCATATCTAGTTGGCTGCACAGTGGTTTGTCTTGAAATCAGGTCTTTATCTCAACATGGCTGTCACTTCAACCCATACGCCGTACCCTGTGCAGCCGTGGGGTCTTGGACTCGCCACCCCAAGGTCGCTAAGAGTGGGCTGGGCTGGTGGCGCATTCGAGCCATGAAGATGTGGAAGATCATGATGAATATCAAACAGCTTGAACCCATGCTACTCCCTGTCTCCACCCATAGCCATACCCAACATATATACCTGGATCTTCAAAACGGCACAAATCTTTTCAAGCAAAATGCCGTTACGGCGTCTTTAGGCATCCACACGGCGTCTTTCCCGGTCTAATGGATTTTGAGCGCATGCTTGCAACCGCGAAAACGGCATGTTTTGTTTTTGATTTGTGGCGTCTTTCCACTGGAAAATGCATACGGCAAAATTTTGTGCCGTTTGAAGATACAGGAACACACACTTGCTTGGAAGCTGAAAACAAGGGGTTCGCAAGTCCTCCACTCGACCAGTTTAAGGTCTACTATGCTGCTCACTCCGTACAAACACTACAAACAACCACGTCGGCTGCGAGTCAACCACCGTCACAGGTTCATTCGTCGACTCATCAAAGTGGGCCTCGATCTCGGAGTCTACATAAGTCACATTAGTCTGTGCAGGTGCAATCTTTGAAGAACTCAAAACAGGACTCAAAGTCCTGCTGCCATAATCCAACGCTGAAATTGAGCGCTGAGTCAGCCAAAGCACATCGCCACCTGCCCATCAAGATCAAAACGTGTGAAAAAAATCGCCCAATTGCCTCTGTTTAAACATCGCCACACAGCAGCATGGCAAACATATGGGTGTTGCAATCCCCAAGAAATAGTCTTCGAATCTGCCTTTGAATATCGCATGTCGTGACCCTGACCGCCATATCAACTTATCACGTGACAATCTTCAGTGTACAGGCACTTGTGAAAACGCTTCTGGGTTTAAACATTCCGACTCCACGCAAGCTTACTGTTGATGGGCGTTCCCGGGATGATGGGAGTGGATGCAGGATCGGCGTTCGGTCTATGGCCCCGGAACTTGGAACGGACGGGTCAGAGCCAATTCTTACAGTGAGCTCCAAACGAATCTGTTGGGGATCGGCTGTGATGAGCTCTGCCCCATCACCGTGAAGCAAAAGAGAGGAATTCCCTTGCATGATGAGAGCATTCTTTTCTTTCAAAAGCCTTTCCCGGCTGTGTTGGGTAAGTTCATACAAAACAGATCCTCCTTCAAATGGTTGTTGATGGGTTTATACTGTGTATATGCAATTAACACCATCCATTCATCCATCCATCCATCCATCCATCCATCCATCATTCCATCCATACGTACATGTACATGTACATGTACATATGTATATATATATATGTATTTATCTGTATACACACAAACATACACACCTACCTACCTACATACATACCTACCTACCTACATACATGCATACCATGTACTACAAACCTTACATGCATACATGCATACATACATGCATGCATACATACCTACCTACATACAAACAAACATACATACCAACAAATATACATTACATATATACCATGCACGACATGCAGGACATGCACGACATGCAGGACATGCAGGACATGCATACATGCATCCATCCATGCAAATCTACAAACAGGCGGCTGCCAGGTTGGAGAAAATCTACAAGGACCCACAGCATTATATTCACGAGAAGCCAGTCCGCCGTGCGGGCCACAGCACCAAACAATACAAGAAGCGACTCATCAACCAATGCAAGCTCCCTTGGCAGCCCAACAAACACCAGCGGGCACCACACCGGAGTGGCTATCAATGCCACACGTGCCACACCAGAGTCCACCAAGGTCTCACTGTGGAGGTCATTGAGCAGCACCTTCAGCAAGACTGCGACCTCTTGGCACATGAGGCACCAGAGCCGGACCTTCGACCCAACAGGCCTGTGGGACAAAAACTCACCCGGGCCAGCACCATCAAACAACTGATGGAAGTGCAGCAACGGCACCCGCAGGCAGCAGATGAGCACACTTATATGGAGACAACAGGTTATCTCAAATGCACGAAGTGCAGCCTGTCCATCCACAAAAGAACCAATGAAGGAAGTTTCCAGGCTTTCCTCAACAGCCGCTGCATTGATGAGAGCTATGAGAAGGCTCATGAGGGCCTCACCACACATGCACTGTGGCAAAAGGGCAAAGGCATCAAGTGCCTCAATTGTGGCACACAGAGTCATCTGGACTCAGAAGACCGGCTGATCATGACCAAGGCTCTCAAGAAACCTTGCCAAGGCACCACACAGAAATCGCCCACACTTCTGCAGCTTTTCGGCACCCAGAGCCAAAGCTGTCAGCTTCCAGGCAGCCATGCACCGACTGCCACAAACACCGGCCATGAGACCCAGCCGCCTTTAGGCACAACAGAGCCCGCCTCAGATTCTCTGAGGACCATGTCACCTCCAGCACCCAAAAAGCTCCGGTTCTCACCGCAGCCGAGGAGCACCAGGGACCACAATACAAACAGCCCACAAGAGCAGGGCGAGGAGGAAACAAATAGCATGGACGACCCTTGCATGGAGGTCGACTTCTTCTGAGATGACCGGGGCGCTCCCTGAGGCCAAAACGGCCACCGCAAGCACCAAACAACTTCAGGAGAAAAAAAATGCATCCATCCATCCATCCATCCATCCATCCATGCATCCATGCATGCATCCATCCATCCATACATACCTACGTAAGTACGTACATACATACCTTACGTTACGTTACGTTACGTTACGTTACGTTACGTTACAATACATACTTACTTACATACATACATACATACATTGCATACATACCAACGTACATACCAACGTACGTACCATACCAAACCATACCATACATAGATCCATACATGCATACATAGATAGGTGCTTACATGCATAAATCAGCACATGATCACATGTTCCACATTCTACTATTGAAAACTAACATTCCATTCGATGTAACTCCATTCCACTGCACTCCACTACAAACAAACATACATACATTCATTTATACATATACATATACATATATATACATACATACATACTTACTTACATACTTACATATATACATACATCCATGCATGCCTGCATGCCTGCCTGCCTGCATGCATACTTACAGAACAGTACATTACATTAATATATCCATACACTGCATACATTACGTTACAGTACAGCACCGTAAATTATGATACATTACGGTCTATTTCATTACATTCCATTGCCCCGAATGAATCTCCATGCAGAAATATGTTCCTTCCGTTTCGTCGTTTCGCCGCTCTTTCTGGGCCTGCCGACAGCTCGTGCAAAGGGATGGATTTGAGATGCCGTGCCAAAATGGTAATTGGTGTGGTCAGGGTTCGGGGGCTATTGTTTATCTATACCGAATTTCCTCTTATATATAAGTGTTTGCTCAACAGTTTGCAGATGGCTGCTACTCGTCCTTTTTTTGCACAGGTGGAAATCGTCCAAATCGTGTGCGGACTCATCGCAATCCGGGCATAGTTCCACCACGTTCAAACCAATTTTACTTTCAGTGTACCTGCGTGGTGCACCCCCCATGCCCCAGGCTACCAACTAATCAGACACTTTCAGTAGCTGATACGGTCCAGCCTAGCTCTGAGTTAGGCATCCTTCACCACCACTCAGCTGGTCATCCCCAGCAAAGCACCGCGGGTCACCAACTCGAAATCACCAATTCCCTTAAATGCACTACTACAGTACATACATTCATACACAACCCAACGTAACGTTTGTAACGCAACGTAACTTAACATTACATTGTATTGTATTACATTAAAATTCCTTTAATACACCGATACACCCAACCAATACAATACCATTGCAATGATTGCATTGCTTTGATTGCTTTGCATTGGTTTATTGCATTGCACTACATTGCAACATGCATACCATACCGTACAATTACATACCCTTACACTTACATACATCACATCACATCACAGCACATCGCATCATCACATCACATCACATGTCATACATGCACGCATTACATTAATATGTACATACATACGTACACATATCAATAGTATACATTACATTACATTACATTACATTACATTATGTTACTACATTACATTACATGAAGTTACATTACATTGCATTACATCACATTACATTCATACATCCATATGGATGCATACATACGTATATTACCTTACATACATGTATGATCAGTTATGATATTGCATACATTACATATATTACTTTAATACATTGCATACCTGCATACATACCTACCATACATTACATACGTAGATACCATTACATTGCATTGCATTATATACATTACTTTACTTTACAAACAATAAAAATAAAACATACATTGACGTAGATGGCACAACATTACATTATATTACAATATATTACATACATGTTAACCAAGTGAGCCATTACAACGAGACTGAGGATCCTCAGGGTTCACAGCTCTCCGTCTTCAGGTGACTCATGGATGCTTTGGGCCACCGACTCAACGGGTTCGTTGGGGTCACCGACGGGTACCGACCGCATGTGTCGAAGACTGGCCTTGCTACTGCTGAGCACGTCGAAGACTCCGTCACAGGCCAGGACAATGGCATCCCCGCTTTCGCACTCGAATTCCTGGCCGGGAGTAACTCAGATTCCAAGAGAGAGACTCTGCACCAATGGGTTTCAACTCTGCAGGACTTGAAGAATCTAACATCAATTCTGGAAAATCCGCATTCATTGTTGACAATAAACTTGAGATTGGCACGCGCACTGTGCCAAACAAAGTTGATTTATGGCCATCTCAGCCCGCCGAGAGGACATGCGTTACACTAATGTCTTAAATTCTTCACTCTGAAGGCCGTTCATTGTTCTGCGTGCCTGTCATACCTTTCTGACAGTTGGATCATGGATCTAGAGCACCATTCAACAGTGGGATCTCGGCTCGTCCGGCATTATCTGGTCAAGCGCTGGGATCCGGGATCTCGTCTGCTTCGGGTTCTGCGATACTATCTGGCTCCAACTCAGCCATCGACTTGACCATCAAAGGTAACAACGAAAGCCTGCCAAGCTATACCATCTATCCCACCGTGTTCTTTTGTGGTGGCATGCCCGTTCCACACTCCCATGAACTGGGTCAGGGTGAAGACCTGGTGGCACCTTGAAACCCAGACACCAATGGGACTGCCATCTTTGCCGATATCGAGGTGCGCTTCGGTCTTTCGGCGTGGCGGGTGGCCGGACTCGGACCTCCGGAGAACTCGGAAGCCCCTCACTCCGCGGCAACCCCCAAAACCGGCAGATTCCGAGACTCGTAAACTTCCGGCACAGCAGAGACCTGCGCGGGAGATCCCGGGGCGGTCGGAGAGTGAGTCCGGGCACCTGGGTGAGTCTGGGCTTGATTAAGGGATGGAACATGATTGACATCGGCCCAAAATAGGTCACCAACCCCCAGAGAGTTGCTCGATTCAATTTCACGAACTGTATGATGTAGAGATCCATGAGAGATCATTGAGGAGGTTCACCCTGCAAATTTCCAGCCACCTTGCATCCTGGTGGCACTCCAATGGCAGCACATCCCCCAAAGTCCTCCCTCCCACTGCCTTTTGCTGCTCCGGTAGCAGGGCAGCATCCTCCTTGAAGCGGAAATCCCCAAGCGCCCTTGAGCAGCCCAAAAAGCCTCAGGCACTGCAGCTTTCTCGGCAGCGATGCAGCGGGGCCCGGCAATCAGAACACTATTGCAATTGCAAAGGGCATTTGGCATAGATTTTGCCAACACGGCCATGATTTAGGATCCTCGATCGTAGAAGACCTTCAATTCTGCATGGGATGTTCTTGTTTTTCTATGTGTAGATTATATATATATATGTTATCTATGTTTATATGTTCAACATTGTTCAACACTGTCATGTGGTGCACATTGAGGCTCAATGACCTCACTACTGGATGCTCCGTCCGACCTCCGGCCAAGGCACCATCGACCCGCAGCACCGGGACACGGCTTCCAGGGAAAGTTTCCACCTGCATGCGGAAGCCGCATCTTTTGAGAGTCCTGCCTTCAGCTATGGCAGGGCGCATGAACTGAACAACTTTCTTTGACTGCTGGCAAGGGCCCCTTGTGGTTCACGAAAGTGAAAGTGCCGACTGCTTACCTTCGATGCTAGCTGGTGGAGTGGCACCATGGGACCACCTGGCCTGCCAACGGAATGAAACAAGTTTTGAGATCCAAGTGTCTCAAACGGGAGAAGGGAGGAAGGAATAAGAAGGAACTCTGAGATGACCCATCGGTGTAGCAAAACTGCCAAGGCTGCTTGAGGCTTTCATGAAACCATCGCAGGGACCAGCTTTCTGGACTTCGACCGCAGCTTTCAGGCCCAGTTGGTCCGGGATCAAAGCCAAAGCATGGTTGGTGGTCGATGGTCACATGGACCAGACCCACTTCGTCATAGAGATGAAGCTTTTCCCTGGTCATAGACATGGTGGTCATAGACATGGAAAGTGGCCAGATTCATCTACTACGATTTTGCATGTCTATAGGGGGTCATGACCAGTAGGGTACACAGGAGTATGGTCAGGCTGCGACTTGATGGGAAGAAAGTGTCTTGCTCGTCGAGTGTGCTCTGCAAATTTTAGGAGTCTTCATCGAGATTTATCAAGCATTCATGTCCCTGAGCATGGAAAGAACATGAAAGAATGTGCTGCAAATAGTGAATTTGAATAAAAGCCTCAAGTGCAGACCCTTCTTGGCTTGTGGACAACTCGCTCTCTCTCTCTCTCTCGTTTGTATCAGTGTGATCACTTCCCTGGTGGTTAATCATGGCTCCTGCCGAAGAAGCTTTCCACTCTTATGAATCTCGTATACCCTGGTCTGCCCTGGATACCTAACAACATCTGGAGGCCCTGAGGCCCCTCAGACCAACCTGGATGTGCAGGGCACTACCCCGAGGGCAAGTTCAACAGGTGGTATATCTCAGGTGACTGTGTGTGAGCAGTCTTCTAGAGCCGGGCGCGCACGCCTTCCCGCCGGCCGCTTTGATCCGCTTCTCCTCCTCCGGTGCGCTGGGGGTGTGGTCTTTCGTCTCGCCCGCCACCTCATAGCCTAGCTGAATCAGGTCATGCGGAGAGACACGGCACAGTGAGATCGCCCGCTACTTCAGCACGACCTGATCTGACTATATAGATCCCTTTGTTGCATCACCTGCAATGAACTGTAGAAGCTGGAGTACATCACTCGGCAATTTTCGAACAGGACCCTTCGGCTGGACTGAGATTCCAAAAATGCTGCTTCTGGTTCTGGACACCTACAGCCGAAACACGAAACACCTCTGAAGGGTCTTGGTACCGTGTAACACTGTGTAGACCAAAACATACAAACCTTACCATAATATAACATATTATAACTTCAAGACTCCTCGGTATCATGTGTCGCATCAAGCCAGGATGTTTATATACTCAGCATCTCCTGGGTGTTCCTGCGAATGTCCATGTGAGTTGCAGTGGACCTGCTCCTTGAGCAATGTGTTGCTCATCTTGAAGAAGTACGTATCTGGTCTGGATCTCCTGGCTATCCTTCTGGTAGCCGACTTAAGGGCCGGAGTTTGAAACACAACACGATGCCATGTAAACTCGAAAAACAATAAATACTGAAGCTACTGATATCGACTAATAGTCTATACCTAGGAACTCCTGTAGTCTATATGTTCAGCCTGCCTGAGGCTGCTTTTTCCGCCCGAGTGGTTTCTAGAAGAAATCCTGAGCAGCAGACATTTTCTGCCTGAGGCTGCTTTTTCCGCCCGCGGCGGCAGATAGTCTGCACGGAATGGTTGTTCCTTCAGTCTATGCCCTTTATTCCAGCCCAAATAAAAATCATGTTGAACATTGATTACAAAGAATTTAGAATCCTCCTCCTCCTCCTCGTTTTTGATTAGTTGCAACTTCTGATGACACGCAGTTTGTAACACTGGTTGATAGTCCAAACCAAACAGTGCGAATCTAATTTCTAGGTTGCACACAAGAACCGCTTGAGAACAAGAACCGCAAGCAAAAGCGCACCTCCCTAGGCCCTAAACTCTCTTTCTCTCCCATAGCTAGGGTCTGCGCTCACGGAATGTGAGAACAAGCACAGTCTAACAAAAATGACCTCTATACGACCTCGCACTCCATGATCGGATCATCGATTCGAGTGCACTTGGAGTGATTCGGAGTTTACGGGAGCCCCACGCGACCCATTGAATCTGAATGGAGCCGAGCAACCATTGGCCGTAGACTTCCTGTAAACAGGCGGCAAATGGCAGCTGCAGGCTGGGTTGTGTTCTTGTGAGTAACAGAAAAAAATAAATATATATATATATATATATTATGAAAATATCATAAAATGTCCGTTGTCGTAAAGCACCTACCCACTCCGTACAGTAGCTTCAATGTTATTCCTACAATGCCAACGCTGCAGTTTCTCCAGCTGTAAGTCTACATGCAGCTAGGTGTCAGAATCAGCGCACGCCTTGCATGGGCCCATGCGGGTGAGGGCTGGTCGGAGGGCAAGTAAGTTTACATGGCAACACCATCTCCACTACGTCCTCTTACAGTAATAGGAAGGTCAGGACATCTGGGTTGAAAAAATAATTACAACCATACAAAAATGGGCCTTAAACCGTGGACCAGTGCAAAAAAGGGGATGCATCTGGGGCTTGTGTCAACTGAAGCGACAACCCACGCTGCAGGGATTGGGCCAATTGGGCCTGGCCTTACGCTGCAACCCACGGGTGGTCGGGGTGAGTGCGATTCAATAATCCAAATCCTTCAAGGGCTTCACGATAAGGTTTGCTGAAGTAACCATCACGGAACACAAAGCACGTTTTGAAAATCCTTGAAGACAATGACCTTCCGACCATGCATGGAAAAGGTAGTGCGTGGGGGACGTTTTGCATTCAGTAGGCTTCCAGGCACTCACATAGGTAGAAGCCCTGGAGCTGGACCGAGGCTGGGCGGCTGGCCCAAACTCCAAACCCAATGCATTCGACCTTCTCCAGTCAGAAACAACACCGAGGACAATTCTGGCACCATGCAAATAGATTGTCTATGGAACTCTGCTGATTTCATCGCCCCTTTCTGGGATCACGACTATAGTAATTGTAGAAGTAAGTATGCAGCATTATGGATATAGAAGCACCCAGCAGGACCCCCGAATACCACGTCCCGAAGACAACCACGGTCCCGTCTCCTGGATCTCTCCGCTCCGAAGCTCATCTCCGCCAAGCTACGAGTCGCCCAGGTTGGCAAGAAGCACCCCAATCTTTCCCGGCTTCTCCTGGAAAAAGTCCCCGCGTGCGACATTTGACGCAGAGATTGCCCAGCGAATTGGCTTGAGAAAGAGTTCTCTCCAATTGCAGTAGTTGATTGTTTTAGAGAGAGAGAGAGGGAGTCAACCATGTCTTTATTGGATGATGGTCTTGGCCTGGCGAATCTGATTCCCAGGGGCAAGTAGCTGACACGAACAGTCCGCTCGTGTATCCGATATTGGATGATGGTCAAGCAGTAAATTGTCGGGCGGTGGCGACGACGGTCAGGTCAGTTCCAGATCTGAAAGTTGTGCAACAAGTTTTGGCCGACAGTCAACAACCAAAGTAGCAAATGTTCATATGAGTACGAAGAGATCTTGATCGAGTGTCAAGCTGTGTTGAGTTTGCTGTGGTGAATTTTGTGAGTGATGGATGCTGCTGCGTTTTTAGATGTGTTGTTCTTTCAACTGGGACATTGATATGTATTCGTCTATGGAGAATATTCAAAGGCAGTCCTTCAGTCATGGACGCTTAAGTCCAAGAAACCTCACTGCTTGAAATCTGAGCTTACCATCTGACAACATAATATTGTAGACTCGTGATTAATATACCTGCCCCATGTGGATGAACGGACTTGCGGACTGTCGGATCAGACGCGCTTCCACGCTCTCCCTTGCTATATTGTATAGCTGCCCCATGTGGACAGAAAAAAAAAAACAAAACTCTTCATATGGGGGATTTATTAATCAAGAGTCTACGTTATCTCGAAGTTTACCACACCCTTTCACAGTGTGACCCATGAACAACCCATGGCTACACTGCCCGGCACACATCGAGTAGGCACTTTCCATGGATAGGTGGTACACACCGAAGACTTCCCATCCTCATCTTTCCAAGCATAGGCGAACACGCAGGTGGTGCCACCTCATGGATTTGGCCAGAAACGGCGGGACTGGTGGGAATGCACAAAAACTAATTTTTTTGATCCAAGCTCTCCAAAATGTCCAAATAAATAAGTAAGACTTGTCTGGCGGCTAGTGATTTCACCCCTGATGGTAATTCTACAATTAATACACAGTCTATCATAATCTATCTATACAAACATGCAAGATTCCGATTTATATAGGATTTCAACAGCCCCACCATTAAGCTAGCCGTTCTGTGGCTCACTTTAGGTGTTGAGATGGATATGAGGCAAAACCTGTGTGGGCTCCTTTTTGCACAGAACAAACATCATCTACATGCAAGCAACGCGCCGCCACCTAGACTTTTAAACCCATTTCTTTCAAGGTGAACACCATATCTCATCGTTTCTGAGTACCCCTCCATGATGTTGCCTTTCAAACGCCTTTCAAACGCCTTTACCCTGCAGTTCGTGTCCATGTTGGCACGTTTGACCTCATCCGTCCATCCTTCGGTCCGGGGGTCACTCCCGCGCGGCAAAGCCCAACTTGATGCGCAAATGTCGATCCAGTGCCTGGGACGTCGAGCACCACCGACCCGGCGAAGTGCGAGAAGTGCCGGGACTGGTCCAGATGATCACCGCGAGACACCGGACTGATGTGTAGACATGTGCGATTCCATGTGTAGACATCTGTAGCTGCACTTGACCTAGAGATACCTAGAGGTTCTTTGGTTGTGTGGACATGTGTGCAAGATAGTCTAGTCCGGTCTAGTCTAGATTGATCTGATGGAAGACCCCTTTGAACGTTTGGGTTTGGTTGTGATGGAACACCAATCGAGGGGTCAGCCAGCCAACGATGATGCTTTGGACGATTGCTCACCAACAGCTGGCTCCCCTCTATAAGTCATCAAACTCAAAAACCCTCGTGGCTGGGCAGGTTAAATTTGGAAGGGTCGCAATTACGTATGTTTGGAATACAGGGTCACAAAACTCATTGGTGTGGGCCAGCTGCACAGTCACCACCGAAACACGCGTCGATCATCATGGATCCATCTTCACTCTGTACTTCCGTCACCCAGAAAAAGAAGAATACAATGTATCCCCCGTCGGTCCTTCCGTCCGTTTCCCTCCGAGCTGCCAGGTAGGTGCCCTGCACCGCGCTCCGCCGCGCCTCCGGCGAGTCGCGGCCGGAGGCATCCAACTCCTGGGGGCAAAGCGGCCAACGACCGGGTGAGAGCAAAGCGGCCAACAAGTGCTGCAGACAAGTCCAAGTCACGTATTTTTGCGATGTGTTTGAAGAAATCACACTCTGAGCTGGAGTTATATGTGTTATGTTGCTTTTGCGGTTCTTCCATTCGGAAATAGAGAGGATAAGTCTAAGTACGCAATTCCGATGAATTCCAGCGGCAAGCGAGAGTGAATGAAATGGTTCTGGAATGACAAATTGGTTATTAAACCGGACTCTACCACTTGACTTGTCATATCTGCTGATGGACCAACACCACAGCTGCAAAATGACCAGGTCTGCTCCGGCTGAGAGGTAGACCAAAAACACTGGATTCAATTTCTTTGTGGGGCGATGAGAGATAACACAAGGACTGTGTCAACCTCAATTGAAGTTGTTGTTTTCTTCATCACGACCTACGTTTAGGCTACCAAAAGCAACACAAATTTAAACACATGCAATTTTTAAGTGGCATAAACAAAGCGAAACAAGCAAAAAAAGGCGTGGTGAGAAAAATGCAAGCACACAAAATGGTTTCCTTCAGCTGCTGGGGTAATCTACTTGGTAGGCAGTAACTCACTTGTTGGACTGGTGTGATCGACCCCCAAATAGGTGACTGATGTAAGAAAGTATAAACGTTTTACGCTGTCCTCGCTGCTCTCCTTGCATTCCAAAATGAAGACACAAACGTCAGTCGAATTTCATCCAATCATCCAGCAAGGTGATACTAGGTGGAGGCCATTTTCTATTAGGTTGGAGGCCATCGCTACGAATGGAGCAAGAAGCTACTAGCTCACGTGCCCCTCCACCACCCCCGCCCGCCTCGCGGATCTCCGTGGGGATCCGCTCCGCACAGGCGCGCGCGGCCGCGGCGCCCCCATGGCCATCGAAGACGGCGAAAAGGCAGTCGCAGCGGAGGTCCTCCCGAGTGGAGAGGTGGTTTTCTCGACGAGGGGAGCTTGCCTCGAAAAAGGGGTTGGTGTGCACTGAGGTTGCCCCTTTTCAAGTGTGTGTTTTCTGTTTTGGTGTGTTTTGCAAGTGTTTTCATTGGGAAGCCAGGTGTGTTTTCTGTTTCTCTCGCCGGCTTCCTGGAGGCACCCCACCCACTTGCCCACGCCCAAATCACCTCACCCCTGCGCACGCGAGGTCGAGCACGCGAGTGTCGACCGTCGCACACTTGCGGGACTCCATGGGAGTGGTTCCCAGGAGGGGACGCAGTCTGTCCAACACTTTGTCAAAGGATGTCAAAGGATGTGCAGCAAGGAAGCTTCCGAGTATATTTCGCGCCTGAAATTTCCTGTGGAGATATTGAACGCCTGAAGCCTTGGGACGACCTGACACTTTGAAGATCTGTAAGTTTGTTCATGTCTTCATGGCAAAGGTTTCAATACACTCTGCGAATCCGTTCATAACATGTCATCAAAGGATGTGTGAACAAGGAAAAGACCAAAGCGCAGAAATGTCTTCACAAAGCTGAGATTGCCTTTGGAGATTTTCGCGACCTGACACCTTGGGAGAGTGTGTGTGTGTGTGTGCAGCCATTGTGGAGAAGGCTTCCTAGTGCCACATGCGCGTGTACAAGCGAGTGCTATGCTTCGACCCAACGACAGCTCCTCAGGTTTCTCCACCGCCGGCAAGGAAGGTCCACTCACCAGCTCCGGGAGGTCGTCGAACAAGCCCGGCAGCCCAGCAGCCTTGATGTTGGGCGCCGGCCCTGAAAGGTTCGATACAGCGAAAAGGAAGGCGAAAAGGACAAGCCGCACCTCATTAAGCTCAAAAGACTCCGAGAATGGTGCAGAATTATGGCAAGATTATGGCTTGAGACTGGCGAAAGGGAGCCAGAACAATCAATCTTAATCTTGCGAGGCCTCAGCGTCCTCACGCTTTCCCTGAGTCCAGCGCACATCATGGTGACCAAAAAGAAGGACAGCAGAATAACACGGAAAAGAAGGATTGACCCAAATATGCAAGGAACCAGGCTTGCCAACTCTGGGTTCTAGCCCTATACATAGTGGCAACCGGATGCAATTTACTGGGATGGACCATCTGCCACAGCCTAGACCCAATCCTCGCCTTCAGGTAGACCATTGCAAATCATCACCTTGGCTCAAGATATGGAACAAAAACAAAATTGCATGTGGCGCTGAAGCTACATATCCATGAGGATGATTACACATTAATTCAAGAGAAGGTGGCTATCTGCATGGAGTCATCAATTGGGATCAAATTTGTCAAACTCAGGGCTTACTTCTGGCATGGTGCTAGAAGCGCTTGGTTTTTGAAGAATCTGGGCCATGGGCTTTCATGAAATTGGGATTCGAAGTTGCGGCCAGAAGAAGCGCACTGCGTTTTCCACTTGGGCCGGATGGTGGTGCATTTGTGGAATTCTGACCCACGGGTTGTCAGTGGCAATTTGGGCGCTCAACTGACCAACCGCTGCTTTTCTGTCTGTATCTTTCTATGTTGAGGCGTTGAGGCGCTTGTTTTCAGATTTTGAGCCTTAATTATTTGTGATTGACCGTTTCACATTAAATGTTTTTTTCGGTATCGAAGAAACAAGGTACATCCAAAGAAACATAGCAGCACAAAGGCAATGAAACACCACTGAAACACACACACACACACAAAACAAAAGCAAGTTCCACTCAACAAACAACAAACCACTGAAAACAAAAGTGCAATTTAATGTTGTGTGTTTTATACGTTATATTAGAAAAAGAAAACATAACAATCAAATCCAACGACCCAAGGGTGGCCCCAAAACGGCACTGAGCTTCAATCCTCCAGGTCACATGCACATCTTCATTTTGTGGCCTTGGGCCCTGTGCACTACATGCCGCGCTGCTCGCCCAAGACCCCTCTGCTTTGTCCAGCGCAATGGCACTGCCGCCCGCCATGGCCATCTACGAAGGATCTTGGATTTCTATAGATTTTGCTGGTGTTGGTCAACACAAAGTCGCACGTTACGGTACGATCGGTACTTTTTCGTTCTGTTCGAAGACCCGAGGAGATGCGTCGGCTTATCCCGACAGGTCCACTGGCTTGTCAAACACCGACAGTTCCGGGGTGGACGGACCACCACATGGACCAGGACAACTCGATTGAGGGTCAAAGCAAAACAGTTTTTACTCGCTGGGAGAAGGCCGGACTTCCTCCTCTGAAACGTCGGAAACTCGACTTTAAAAAATCTATTGGTCGGAGTCAGTCTATTGGTCTGGATCGGCTGCCTGCAGTAATGGGACTTGTCTTTTTTGGGGGGGACCGCTCTCCAACCTACTAGCAATGGCCTCCAACCTAATAACAAACATTAGCAAAGTATATCAGAGTCAGAGTATGTTAGAGTCATTGCATTGATGTCAATTGTGCCTTTGCCACACAGGTTGCACATGTGCCAGCCAGTATCAATGATGGAATCCGCCCTCTGTGCTCATGTGTCCGCCTGAATCTCGAGCAAAGAATCAGCTGCCAGTGGGATGCGGATCTTGGCTTAGCCTGGAAAAATGTGATTCTTGGTCTACCACAAGCCAGCTTTGGAGAAACATCTGGCAGGTGAAAACGATTTCACCACACCAGACCGGGGCGACTGACACAGGCGGTTTCCTCGCCGCCAGGACCGAAGTAGATCCGGCTCGTCGATGAAATCACGTCCTTTCGGAGTAGAGCTTGTATTCCCGGCCTGGGCAAGCAGGTGACGAAGGTTTTCGGACTGATCTCCCGGGGTTTTCCTGATCTTCGAAAACTGCCGGGAGAGAACGAGGCCTTATCATATCGAGGAATATGGTGTCTGCACGTCTTGTCTTGTATTGTTCATGACCAGTGGTAAAGGTGGAAGAACTGGTTGCTTCCAGATTGGAGACCACAAAATTGTTTTTTCTGTCTTGGGAGCCCAGGGTGGACTCAAGAATGTAAAGTTGTCTTAGTAGGCGATCTGCGCGGCAGCCCTGCTGAAGGAAGAGATTCTGCACCAGGGTGTGTATCAACGCACTAGAACAGTGCAAAACGTCCTCCTAGTCGTAGCAGGAGTCACCAATGCTTGAGCTACGAAGTCTTGTAGCGAGAGATCCTTTCCTCATCAGGCATCTTACGAACCCCAGCAAATTCGATACCCTAGCAAGTCTTTAGAACTACCTTCAGCAAGCAGTTGATCGGGAAACGGCCGCATCAGGCTGCAGCTTCAAAGGTCTTACAACAGCGGAAGCTGTATCGCTTAAATGCTGTTCTGTTTTCTTTCCACCGCCATCCAGCAACAGCGTTCCCTTTTTGGCGGGCGCGCGACACCAGCAACGCTCCCTGTGCTTCGAGGGGCGGAAGCCAGCGCAAATCAAGGATTGATGCCAAACCAACGCTGACGCGGCCTACGGCTTCGTGGGACGGGGCCGAAGAAGAACACGGAGACGGCGGCCGTGTTTGCACGTCTTGTTCAGCGCGACCCGTGGACCGGTGACCGGAACAGAAGTTGTTGGTAGAAAGTCCTCGTGTCAAGTCTGCAAAAGCCTTCCAAAGAATTCCGGTGGACCACTTAACCTCTATATATATAATATACTGGCTTGAGCCTTACAACTCTTCCCAAAGCCCCCCACCCTGCCTCCAGGGCTCTAAAGCTTACTAAAACCTCGAGCCAGAACTAGAGCCACTATCCTCTGGCAACACATCCCGCTGCTGGTGTCTGAAAGTGCTCAAAGGAAACATGATGCTGAACTACCCCCAAACTATACCAAACTGGCTGGTCAAAGGACCATTGGATTGGGGGCTAATGATGGCGACTCAATTAAAGATGTATTTATACAAAGGTTATAAGATGTTATAAGCATAATAAATGGGGCCAGAGCTACATGTTCTGCGCTCGCTCACTTGTTTTTTCTCTCCGCATCTCGTAGACTCGGATCTCCTCACAGGCGTAGTCGTTGCCTTCAGGAATGACCAGCTGCTGCAGTGACCAGCCTAGGCTGGGACGACATACACAGCTGCCCTGCAGGATCTTCGATGGGCTAAGTGGACTGTAGTCGACTGCAGGAAGGAACTCGCTACATTACATTATGGGTGCGTATCTTTTGACGTTCCCGGGCCGGGATGTTTGACTATGGGGTACACTTCAGAGGTATCCTCTGCCTAAGTCGAACATCCACACGCTACCAAGACTGGACAGGCAGGTCAAACAAAATACAAACTCATGTGTGAAATTATGTGCATACTATACATACACATAACTTGCATAACTCTTTGGCTCATCAATTGGAGGAATATCAGGAAACGGATATGTGAAGATTCTATAAAGTTCCTAACCTCCTAGTGATGGCCAAGCCAGGAAATTTCCCCACACCCGTGATATATTATATATATAGTTACATATATATATAGATATATATAAACCAAGCGATTGGTTCATAGGGATTCGTAGGGAACGAGCACAAAAGTCCAATGAACTGGGTAGATGCCCAATCACCCAACTGGTAAAGAAAGGCACCCCGGCGTCGGTGGAAGACACCTCGGTCGTTCCCTCCCGTCGAAACCGCTCGGTGAAAAGCCTTGTTTTTCCGTCTTCTCCTACTTGCCAGGTGGACAAGCTGCCACTGCGCAGTAGCATTTCCTGGAACTCCTGCAACTTGTTCAAACACACGCACATATTATATATATAAGAATTAATTAAAGCTACTAAGAACAAGTGCCTCGCTTCTAGTAACAAGTGCCTTACTAGTAGTGACAAGAAGCTATTATATATTATATCCTACCCCCCCAAAGATCGGTATGCAGATGTGTTTCAAGCAGGACATGTACGTTCGTGCGGTTGAAGACCCAAAGAAATTCATATATATATAACAAGTAAAACTGAGTGAAGCTAACAGTAGGGAATAGATTTCTTATTCCTATAGGTAGGGAACCACATATCAAGGAACAAAAATGAAGGGAAGACAGAGACAGCAGAATTACACAGTGACAGAAAAAAACATGGTAAGCTCTGTTTATTCTATCTTTGTTGTTTATTTATTTATCCACGCATGTTCCTTACAATCTTTGCTGCTCTTGTTCTTACATAATTATGTAGTGTAGATAGATAAAAGCACAGAGTTTCATAGAAACAAATTTGTTCTTCTTTATTATAGTAACATTACTAAAAACAAAAAAAAGAACGTATAAATAACAAAATGATGCAATAATGGGCATGACAGAAAATATAGTGGGTGCAAATCACATGGGAGATGAGGCGTCAAGTGACATAAGGAATAGAGTAGGTAAGTCCTATATTATGTCAAAATGTTTTTGGCACCTAACCGTTCGGTGACTATAGGTAGAGCAGGATGAGATAGGACTTGTGGCATGCCTCCCCACCGGTTCCGGTCACAATCTGATCAGCTAGCCTTTCTCAGCTGTCATTTGTCCTGAATCCTAACTACTAATTATTGATTTAGCTCTGCAATTTGTGCCAGCCAGCAAGAAACCAAAATGGCCTGAATTTTGTTGTGGGTTCTTTTTGCCTGATGACGGGGGATTAATCAAAAGGGGGATAAGGCAAAATGACTCGGGAATGTGTGAGTTCCCATGTATGTTTTCTACATCCCATGTCATCCGAAGGTAGTATTATAATATAAACCTTTTTGCTGGGTCATGAGTGCTTATCAGAAAAAATGTTATACAACAGCCTTATACATATGTTATATATATACATATGTCCATTCCATAAGGCAAAACACAAGAAATCAAATAAGCATCGACAAAGCAGCTATGCCACATGTTCAGCTGCAAAAAGTTTCCTTCCAAAGATTCAAGCTGCAAATACAACATGAAAGGAAGCAAGGGAGCAAGGAAGGAGGAGGGTTAGTGCGCTGCTGTACTTGGGCGGCAGGCTGGCCTACAAAGTCAGAACAACAACCCAAGAATATAAATGGTTGTATTATATAATGCTTAATATAATTGGTTCTATTGTTTTACCCACATGTTTCCTAGGAGGCGAACATATACGCTCTATATATATATATGACAGTGACAGACATTAAAGTTGTAAGTGTCAATGAAAATGAAGAAGCAAAGCAAGAAGAAGCACCAGAAATAACAGAAGAGGTGGACCAACCACCAGAAGAAGCAGAAGAAGTAGTGAAACCAGAAGAACCTAAACAAGAAGCACCTAAACAAGAAGTCATTACAGAACCATAAAAGAACAATTCAAAACATTAAGTTAAAGGGCAAAATGGTTACATGTCCAAAGCAATATGGGAAATCCATGCAGGTAAGGAACTATATACAATTAAACGTACAAAAAGACTTGCATTGCAACAATTAAAAGCAAAAGGGTAAAACTAACAGCAAAGGCTACACCAAGAGCAATAGTTCAACATATTAAAGAAGAAAACACACCAAGAGAATTACCTCCGTGGAAGCACAGGTGCAAAAAAGAGTGAACTAGACCCATGGCACCAGTAAATCCACTGAAGAGTCTAGCGCATCTCTGTCAGATATTGCAAAATGAATATATAAGACAGAAGCAACAGTTTCTGCAAAGGAATGTTCAATAGCAAACCTAAGAAAAGATAGTAGTAATTATCTTTATCTAAGAGATTTATACTGGTTTCATTAGACTGAGGAACAGTTTTCAGAGGAACTGAATTTACAAAGCTAGAGCTTACATGATCATTGCATTTTACAACAGAGGCCTATATTCATTCAAAGTCAAATAGCAAAAGTTGGAGGTGGTCGAGGTGGTGGAACTTAGATGTATTTTCAGCATTGAAAGCAAACCCATCAACAACATATAAGAAAAACAAATACAGCAAAGTAGCGCAACAAGTTTATAAACTTCACCATGGAGTTTGTAAACTTGCTCACAACTCTTTAGTAGGGTGGTAGGGTAGGTAGGTAGAGGGGGGGGGTGCTCAGAGCTCTTTTCCTTCGTCACCTCTCCTTCAAGAAGACTTTACAGTAACCCCTCCCCTCCACTCTTCTTCAAGAAGACTTCTCAGTACACTCTTCCCCTGCATAGTTTATAGACTTAACCCTTAAGCATTTAGTTTATAAACTTTGTGAATGATGACGTTAGATCCTGTGGATGCAATCATGCACATATCATGTGATGCTGCACACATATGCACAAATCAGATGCACATTGTGAGGTGATGTGATGCGCATATACATACATGTAACCATAAGCAACCACTGAGCTTCGGGGGGTACCACATATATACATATATACATATATACATATATACATATAATATATATCACATCACACATCACATTGCGTAACGCTTGAGTCCACACGGTCGATTGGTTGACACACCAGGTTGACACACGGGAGCCGGGAAAAAAAGGCGAGCAACTCCCCATCCCGAAAGCGTGCCACAGTTGTTTTTGTCTGTCTTGGACTGGGATTTGCCAGGATTGCTTCAGGGGTCAAACTATCCAAGCAATAATCATGAACGTGCGACATTATCTCCAGTCCAGTCTAACTGTCTAACATTGTCTAACTAATTACTTGCCTCACTGCAATGTTGGAGTTGGAGGGGCTCGAGGCTATCAAAAGAAAAGGCAAAACACCTGCCTGTAGTGCCAGTTGACTGCCACGCTGGATCTCTCTTCGACGCCAAACACCGGGCCTCTTCGACGCCACGCACCTCATTGGCCCACAGCACCGTGAGGGGCCCTTCCATGGCATCCAGCGTGGACAGCAAGAGGGGTGAAAGCTCCGGAAGGTAGACACAATCCTCGGATGAACACGGGGTCTCATTAATCCAAATCATGAAACCAAACAATTGATTACAATGTTGATATGGCTACGGTACATAACAATGGACAAAGGGCTCAGAGACATGAGCATGGGATGAGGACTTGGCCATCTCATTTTTTGAGTGAGAATGGTGAAAGTCGACTGTGAATGGTCATGGAACCTTGCTAATCCCAGGTTCAAACTCTGGAACTGAGCGCAGTCTCTCACCACCTTCCAGCAATCTGTGTCAAATGATGATAGACGTCAGCTAAGATAAGGGCTGCGCGTCAGCTGTTCTGCGTTTGAAAGCTGAATTAGATGCGTTCTATTGGAAACTGAGAGACGTGAAACATAGAGTGGTCTTGCTTCCAGATAAGAAATCCCAAAAGAAAAGACCAAAGCCAATATGGCCCACCAAAACCACCAAATGTCGACTCCATTTACAGTCCGATGGAGCATCTGGGCATCGGACTCGCCCAATCCACCCGCAGCCCAGCGGCCGACATGATCACGGTCTCGATTCCCTCGATGCCCGGCGCTTGTCCCCACTGAAGCTCTTGAACATCAGCCCGCTCCTAATGCGACTGACGGGTGGATCCGTTGAACATACTGAACTGAGATGGAATGAAAAACACCATTTATATGTCGTTTGTTTCTGTGTGAACAGTAATTTTGCTGGAGGAGTTTCCGCCATCTTTCAAGGCCCCTCATATGCACAATCTCCTCCAATTTGTTGGAGGCAATGTTGGATTCCAGCAAAGGCAGCATCACAGGTCTATCCTCAACTCGAATTCACAACTCGGGTTTACGACCTACAATTTCGGGGCGGTCTGAAAAATCATCCAGTTTAGAAATCGTTTGCGACCGTCGATTTTGTCGGGTCGATTGAAAACAATCAAAACATCGACCACAAGCTGTGTGCAGCTGAAACATGTTGAAGCCAATCCAGTGTCCAAACTGACACTTTTATTTTGGGGGGGAAGGGTCAGTGTCAGCATCCATTCCATGCACGGAGTGTCTTGGAAAGGAGGCTATGAGTGTGTACTTGGGGACATTCAGTGAGAAAGCAAGCAGTTTCACGCAGTGAGCGATTCGACTAATTTGGTGCTTTCATGTGGACACTGGAAAACACAAATTGATACAAATGGTTGAATTTGGGAACCTAAACCACAAGAGTTAGTTGGACAACCCTAAACATAATTGGACCAAACTGCGCAACCTTCATCGTCTGCAATCACAAGTCCTTCTATTCAAGAAATTGGCAGAACAAAGCAAATCAATCCACAAAACATCCCAATCCCAAAATTTGCAAAGGGAAGTCCTGGCTGGTCCTACCTGACAACACGGCCATGCTTGACTGACAAAAGGTCCCAGAACCAGACATTTTCCACAAACCTCATTCGTACGTCTGGCTGTACAAGCCTACCTATAAGACGGTTGTTTGAGCTTGAGGGTGTCAAGTAGCATTGTGGGGATCAATGTTTCTTTATGGGAGAGTTTGCCACGCCAACATGTTGGTTGAGCAGCGCATAGCAACACAAAGTGCTTGCAAGTGCTGGACCGTAGGTGTCCTGGAAAACCGGACCATGCCCGTCGGTCGTATAGGGGGGTGAGTGTGATGAACACACTCACGCCCCAACGGAGCGATGGCGGTGATGACAGGTACGGACGAGGGTCCATGGCAACCGTCCACAACCTGTTCACCGAGATTCGACCGCTGGGAAGACAGGATCTCACACACGATCGAAAACTGGACCGGTGGGCGGGCTTTATTTCTTTCATGAATGTGAGCTGCAGCTGTTTCGATAAACAAAATGAGGTAGGGTTCTCAATCGCCAAGCTGCGCTGATCATGAAGCTAGGAGGTTTGCCTCGCGAACTTTTTTGGTCTTTGGCTTTGCGCCTTCAGGTTTTGATGTGGATCTCAGCTTTCTCACATTTGCGAACCTTTGATTTCAAGTCTTTGAAAGTTTTGTTGAACATTGCATTCCAACCACCACACGAGTCCCTGTCCTGATCTCGCCCGGTCCACTCACACTGATGCCACATCTCTCAACAGCCTGTGTGAGCCCAGCCTCGCCAGCAAACAACTCAAGAAACTGTGTGTCAGTTGAAGCCTCTGTAAATTGCTCGACAATCACCTTTGGTGTTGCACCTTCTTCAACGAATTGCTCTGCGTTGAACTCATTGCACTCCAATCTCCGTTTCAAGGCCGTCCTCAACTCTGTCAAGCGAGTCTCTGCACGATCAACTGTCATCTCGCACGATCCCGTGAAGGCAGGAGTGCTTAGTAGTCACATGCGCTTCTGCTTCTTAGCGGGTGGACCTCCACCCCTTCCACGTCGCTTTCCTTCCTTGCCCGCCTTGCCCTTGTCCTCATTCGTCCAGCCTGTGGGGACAATCAATCGTCTTGTGAGTCGGACAATATCACTTATTACCCGCGCGTTTATAATTCGGGTGGGCCCCTATCGGTTTTTGAGGTTTCGGCATCTCTTTACATGTAATTGGGTAGTACCCTATCAGTCCCAGGCTGTCTTATAATTACATTGCACCGACTTGGAGCATTGCAGGCTTCTCAAATTCACGAGCCCAAACTCTTGGTGGCTGGCACAAATGCTGAAAGTGCTGGGTGTGTCTGATGGCCTGTGCCGCATCTGGATGCTGCAACACACTCATCCTGAACTCCGAGGCATAGCGATCCAGCATGGATGCAGTGGCTAATTCAGCATGACAGCTGCTGTCCTGAAGATTCTCCAGGCCTCTTCCCAAGAATCCAGATTGGATGCCCCTGGACGACCATCCCGCCACTGTTGGCTGACGAACTTCATAGCTCGTGCAATCTTTTCTCCATGCGCTGCCATGTCAATGACTGGGTTTGCCCGACTGTATCTTGTGATACAAACAGGTCAACTGAGCATCTGTGACCTCCTCCTTGTCGAAGGGATGGTCACCCTCGGCACTCGCAAACTTGCCCCTCATCTTATGCAACACGGAACTGGCCAGCATCTCAACCTCAAAGTCACATCCTTGGTCAATAACCTGATTCATCTTGAGCTTCAACTTTGCACCACTTGTTCCACTGCCATCTGTTGTCGACAATGCTGTGGTTGCATCCCTCAATGCTCCTCCCGACGGTGTGAACGATGAAGAACTGCCATACTTCACCTGTACTGCACTGCAAAACAGCCGCCACTGTGCTTTCTCTGTCTCAAGCAATGCACGACCACCTCTCATCTCAATGCATGGACAAGTGCCTGCTCAACACCATCTGTAGGAATCACTGCCAACACGTGCAATGACGACAGCTCTACATCTCCCATTTGCCGACACACGCACCTAATCAGACCAGCATCCATGCCAGCCCAATCCGCGGCATCGCTCAGTGCCCCGCAGCTGTCTAAGGCTACCCGGTCGGGCAGTAGGCCATCCATCCTCCCCCACCTAACTTGAATAGGGGGAGTTATAAACTGCACCTACCCAAGCCAACCTTGGAGCTCACACGGCACAGTTTGGGCCTGCAGAATCTTGTATGGTGAACGCTGTCAAAAACGACACACTTCTTCGTTGCGAGGACACAGAGAGCCATGGAAAGTGCTGTGAAATCTGCGCAAGAACGACATCATGTCATCATGTCTAAAACCATTGGCATGAGCAGGCATTCAAAGCAGTTGTGGCTACAAGACCGACAGCCCACAGCCCACCACAAAGTATCAACATGAACCCCTGGAAGGGTCGTGCCCCACGAGCTTTGTCATCAACAACACAATGACGGCCGCCCTGCTCCGGAGCCGCGGCTGAACAAGCTACCGCGTACAGTGATGTCCACAGCTTCACCGCACAGCCAAGGCCACCGCTAGCATAACCAGCTTAACCTGCTTGGCCACGCTTTTCCACGCTCAAGCCGTGCCATCAACAGCGCAACCAGTCGCCAAAGCTCGCCACCCCACATGATGGCTTGTTCAGCGGCCAAAGAATTCTTCGGACAGAGACTGCGACTCTACGGCCCTCAGCGAAGCTTGGCCCTGGATCAAACCACGGCGTGCTCTCAAGCTGCCATTTCCATAGGGCATGAAAGGGCATGAAGCGTCAATAGTTTTCCACCCTTCTACGTGTGAAACACCAAGAGGTCAAAGACAGGGGGTCATGAAGTGGAACGTGACATGACAAGTGCACTGCCAGCTTTTCCTTTGCCTTTGACCTCCACGTTTCAGAGTGCAGAAAAGAAGACTGAAAAAGAAACAATCATTAATCATTCCCTGATCATTCTTTGCCAAAGTGGATGACGGTCCCATGTTCAGGGTCTACACTCGCTTTCGGGAAGAAAGCCATTCTCCTACAAGAACCCCATGCTCCGCGCTCCGCGGGTCCCAGCGGCAGTGAGCGTGACTTTGTGGCCCAAGGCAGCTGCCACAAGTCCACAATACCCGGTGCCAGAGCCAAGTTCCAGGACCCGTTCGCCACAAGTGATCCTGGACGGAAGTGGCGGATGGGGAGGCTGAGACTTCTGACGGGACAGGACGCGAAAGCAGCGACAGATCCACATCTGCGCAACGATGACTTTCTTTTTCCAATGTTTGGAGATGGAAACCCAAGGGCTCGCTTGCACCCGTCAGCGTACTAGTCTACGTACTGTGTGTATCTGTGTATCATGTAAATGTGTTGACGTGCAATTCATTTCTGACATCATCACCCTCTATCCTACGAAAGGATCTACGATGCAAAACGACTCACGACTCACGGAGCTCAAATCATCACCGACTCCGGGTCCCAGCCAGACTGATTTCAGCCACGATCAGCACGAGCGGATGCAGCCGAGCGGTGGATGTTTTACACCGCGCGGATGCAGCCGAACGAGTTCTCGGTTCTCCATGCCACGGACCTCTACGGACCTCTACGGGTTCTGCGAATCCATTCTGGACCTGCCAAGTAGGATTATCAAGCACCCCAAATCGTTGAACCCATCCAAATGGGGAAACATCAAGCTCCAATGGCTTAAAACTAGAAGAGTCAAACACAGAAGCTGCTTTTTTGAGGAGTAACAGTCAGTACCACCGTCTTTCCTGAAGTCCAGATCCGCAAGTGAAAGCAACTTGCTTGGTCATATTGTGCATTGACCCTGGGTAAGAACTTGCAGCACTTGATTCAATCACCTTTGCAACTTACACAAGTATATAAACCTTCATTCCTCATCTAATAACCCCTTCATTCTATTCTGGGCCAAGCTATGACAAAAGTCAATCACCTAGGTAGTGCCAAAAGAACGCTAAGAGGTGGTTTCTGACAGTTCTGAGCGTCAGTACCAGTACCACTTTTTACACAGGGTGAAGGGTCGAGGTGTATGACATGAGCTATATGATTCCTTTTACATCACAACACAAGGATGGCACAAGAACCTACTTGGGGGTCTTGCATAGTCAGTTGCCCGAACCCAAGTTGTTCTTAATCAATGACACACCTTTGGACACACAATCAAACGTGGGTTGGAATTTCATCAGTCCGCGTTTCTAGGTCTTTTGTAAGTGTCTATCTTTGCAGTTTTTGCCAGGAAAACTATTCCCAAACGATCAATCCCAGTCCGAAACGCGGAGTTGCCACAGTTGCCACAGTCCAGATTGGTTGCATGAATGAGACTGTATGGTATTCAGCAGCTAGATGAACCATGCTGATGTGTACTCTGATGTGCATATGTATATATATATACAGTAATATTGAGGTGATTAGTTAATCTTCACCGCAAAACTTCTATGCAATCTCATTCTTCAGCACTGCCCCCCAATCCTCTTTGGCCCTTGGTGACACACCGATGCCGGGTGGAATCCAAAGGTGTCCTCTGTTGACTTCATCTGAAAATGAGACAAACCTTCAAAAGACCTTTGTTTAGTTAACTTATGTTAACTTATATGTTAACTTCCATATACCAATTGTTTTGGGGTGATCATCCAAGCCAAACAACTGCTGCTTTCAACCCGGGAACGCTCCGATCAGGGCTTCTCCACTGAGGGGCTGGCGCTTGATCAGCATCTCGCCCAAACAAAGAGCTGAATCCCAAACCTAGGGGTTTCGGACCACCAAAGCGAACCTGGAATAAATGGAATGTCTCAGAAATCTTCGGGGCAAATGGAACAATTCACCACCTAAGATAAGGATGGATAAGGACCTCCACCACCAGCCACATCCAACATTAAGTGAGTTCATTTCACTCACCATCGTGAGGTTGAATGGTCGTATGTTGCCCGGTCAATGCAAGCATAGGTGTGTCTGTTGTTTTTTTTTGCAATGCAGCATATTGGATCAACCTGATCAACCTATATTCTCTCTCCCTGACATTGCCTGACCACCTCAAACAGGTACAAACTTAGGGATGTGTTTGACAAAATAATTTGCCAAGGGATCAAGTCTCCTGTGTATGGCTGTGTTGGATCTGCACACGTGTGGCTTTTAGTTCTACCAAGCGATTTCCAAACCTTCTTGTGCGGCCTTGGCTCCTTTTCAACAGCAATACAGTAACAGTTATAACATACGGGTACAACTATAACTACGGGTAACATACAGGTATAACATATATACAGGTATAACATACGGGTAGTAACTTATATAACAACTAACAACTAAGAACTATATGGACACGCACACACCCGAGTCCTGCAGTCCCCTGCAGTCGCCCCCTGGGCCCCCCCATCTCTCCAAGAACCTCACTCCGACCGAGGCACGGTGGCACCCGACTCATCAGACAAAGCGAGGTTCACATCCACCTCCAAAACCTCGGCGTTCGCCCGAGTCGCTCGGTTCGCCCGAGCGAGGTCTCCCCAGTTGAGGGGGGCCGGACGGCGGACTTGGCCGCGCCCCGAAGAAGCGGCGGAGAAGCCGCCGCCTTTTTGGGGTGAAGGCACCTGATATCCTTTTCGTAGTTGTTGGAATGGTCGGGATTTGGCGGGGGTCGGACAAAAAGTGTAACTGGGACGTGTGGGAGCAGAAAAGCCGAGGACCTTCGGGTCTTTTCTTGAGGTGATCGGGTCATTTTGGGTCAAGCTTAAGGTAGGGATACGTTCAAGCATAGTTACGAGCCAGGGAACTAGACTATGAGAAAAATTTGACAAGTCAAGTGCTTGCGAGCTTACCAAGCATGCTTTTGTGATTCACATGGAATGAGAGTGGCTTTTGTGCTGCTCAGAATTTCTTTACTGGTGGAGTCATTTACTTGCCGCGCTTATCTTATTCACCAACACTCTTTCAACCATCTCAAAAGACCCTCCGACTACCCGAACATACAGTGACATGGAGCCGGAGCAACGGCATGCCGGCATGCTAAAAGGAGTTTTCCACCATCAAGTTCTAGTTCCATGGACGGTCGACGTTCGTTTCTTCGCTGGTGCTCCGTCGTGGTGCATTCTGTTGGGAACTGTGACCCCCTTTTCTTCCCGGGTCTCTCCTCACTGCCCAGTGACATGGTCCCCTCCGTCCCTCGGGATTGCCACTCGCCGCATGGGCCGACGCGGCCGGTGTCGTGCGCCAAGCACCGTCCAAGGTGGTCTCAACTGGTTTGGTCCTCCCCAAACTGGCCAGTTCCTCCCCCAAACCACAACCACACGGGCGCCACTGGCCAGTTCGAGTGGTTGGAATGGAATGGGTTGGATCTCGTGCGATCTGTGTCATGGAGTCAGACCCAGAGTCACACTTATGTTGGTCTATTTGCTGGGAAATGACTGGATCACCAGCGAAGGCTGTCACCAGAGTTGATAAGATTAATCATAAGAATAACATCTACGCTCCTCTGTCTGCCTTTCATTCCATCCGAAGATAGGCGGAAAAAGGTTTCGCCGTCCTGGTTTGGTTCCGAACACATGACATGCACATCCAAAGAGTACCTTCTGATCTTTGCTCCTTCCTCCGTTGACCGATCTTCTACACTTGATCCCACGCTGCGAAGCGGAACGAACGGCAGCCGAGCGAAGGTCGCCGGAGGCATCGGAAGGTTCGCCGTGATCTCGGAACCATAAGACCACTCTCAAGCGCCGATGAAACAAAAAGTCCAATTAAGCAACTCCATGTGGGAAACCCCCAAGTGCAGAGTGCCTTTTATGTTTAATTGCTGCCTTAACTGTTCACGACTAAAATGCCCCCAAAGCAGTTTTAATCAAGTACCCGCCGGAATTAGGTACCAATCTGGGTGGGGGGGAAGCCAATCTTTTCCTGCACAAAGTTCACTGCCAGGCGTCGGCGTATTGACAAAACTACGGCTTCACCGAGATGGGTTTTACTAGAATCATGGGCCACCTCTCGGAAAGAAAAAGAAGGGAAATTGCACAGTCTGATGGACCATACATATCGATACATACCCGACATACCCGGAATCAGAGGACGTGGGGTGGGCAGGACCCCCGTCTTCCCACGTGCCTCATTGGCTGGGAACTCCTGAAGCAGGGCTTCCCGAAGCAGGCGGAGACCGCACGCACGGTGGAGTGGAACAAGTCTTATTATAAAATATAAAATTACACATATCAATGTTACACCTGTATGTTGTATAGATATGTCTACATTATTATATACTATACACTTATACATATAGTGTGCAAATATAGTTTAATATATTTGATTGATATGTATTATGTATTGTTGTTTTCAGGCAGGTCTCCTAATCAGACCACAATCGTCTGGTGCATTTATCGTTTACCAATTACGAATTTCCCCTGTCACAATTTCAAATCGCTGTGCACGCTGGAGAGGTGTTTGGATTTCATCTGCAGAGATGTTCACAGATCTCCATGTTTGAAGAGACTTAGGTTCTGATCTACATGACAGACTCGAGCGAAAATAACAGACTGCTTCAATCACGCACCGGCTCTCTGCCTCTGTCACGTCACTTTTTATCCCCCCTTGCTTGACTCCCTTGGCGCTTCAAAGCCGCGCCTGTCTCTGCTCGAAGCTCACCCCATTGTGCGCGAAGATCAGCAGCTTCTTCCGCGTGGCCACACAGACCTGAACAAGGCAGAAAAAAACGGCTCAAACAAATCTGCAGCAGACATGTCAATGTCCGTGGGAAATGGAGTTGTACTGTTAACAGGTCACGTACCGAATCGAATTGGATTTTTTCTAGAAATTTGTAGTGAATGGAACTGTTCAGATGGGTTGCACCAATATTTAAGGAACCCTTAAATTAGTCCACTTCTCCATACTCCTTCATACTCAAGTTGGAGAAAAAGAACACGACTGAATCACGTCCCTTCGACCCGATTCGGTCCCTCCGACCAGCCGCCTCCGCACTGACCTCTTCACCCGAGCTGCCGGTGTGCAAACACAGGCGCTTGACCTTGTGACAGCTGGAGCAGACTCCAGGCGATTTAAATATTGTTATTATATATATATATATACAAATATATACCGTATTATACTGTATAGATGTCCGGGCATACTCCTAAGTGGTTTAGATATTTTAGATCAGGTTTTGCCTATGTTTCTAACGTTTTCCTGAAGTGGATGGCAATGATGGCTACTTCGCAGGGATTTGGCAACAAGAGGTTCTGAGCCGGTTCTGCATTGCCTGGATATGGCATCAAAAAGCATCGATGTTGATTTGTGCAGTGGGCATCGGTATCAGCAGGAGTAATGATCCCTCTGGGGCATCCACCCATCACTTCCATGTCTTTCATGATTCATGTTCGTGTTTATCTGCACCGCAAACAAAGGTGCTGAGGCGTTGTCTCAGATCGCATAAACCATAGCTCATTAAGCTTTTGAGCTTTTTCAAAGGACGAAAAATGAGCAATCCATTGGCGACGTCGGTTACGCCGCCCCAGTGAGACTGCAATATTGGCATCGTGCGTGCTTGCCCCTGTGGCCTTCCCAAAAGAGATCATGTGAGTTATGCTGTCCCAATACTGGCACCCCAAATGCTGCTGAACAAACACAGATATTCATCCTAAACTCGATCTTTCCTACTTGCACCTACCCCTTACGTTCCACTCTTGCACCTCGTTGTTTCCATGACCGTCTTTTTCTCACGGCACCCTTCTTCTGACGCTTTGAGCCCTGCTCTTTCCCGGCTCAGAGAGCACAAGTATCCGTGCGGCCGGCTTCGTCGCGAAGCGGTGTGAATACTCTTGAAACATCATACTCTCCTTGCACACAGGCATTGTCACCATGAACAACGAACGGCAGGACACTTCAAAAGCCAAAATGGTCATGTCACTTCTTTAGCATGCTCCAGATGTTCCACCTTCGATCTGCTAAAGGTCTGGACATGTCTTGATCAGTGACTTCCGCGTCAACCAACTATGGAGTGACTACGATGTTTTTGGACCTTGCTTTTGAGGGGGCCCGAAGCAACAACCGAACCATGCAGTTTAGGGGACGAAAACAGAGTGAACGGCCAACCAGAGTGAACGGTCTCACCAGTTTGGGCCCCCAGGGGCGCCCTCTGACGGGTGCTGGAATGACAGGTCCAAGAGAAAGTCGGCTGGGTGATGAAAAGCACACCCAGCCTGATCGAAACACATCCCATAAACCAAGCCGCATCCTTGCAAATCTCCACCTCATTGGCGGTAGGAGGAGATTTGGAAGCAAATAGCAAAGCAGAGCAATCGCAGTAGACTATGCAACATCGGAGTGTCACCAATAGATGCCGGCCACTTGGGCGGCAGGTCCACTATCACACTGGAAGGTTGAACGGTATCAAAAGATCTCATGAAGAAACATCTTCATTCAAGCTATATACTGTAAGCACTACTCTAAGCCTCTTGAAGGTGGAGACTGTCTGGGCATGTTTAGGTCAGCTGTTGTATTCCCCAATCTGGCCTATCTGTGCTCAGAATTTTCCATCAGGACAGGTTCCAGTTGTCTCCCCCCCGAAGAAAACATGTTTTGCGGTTCACACCCTTGGACCATCTTGTGAGGATGAAAAAGAAACGAGCAGTCCTTAACTTGGGATGCTCAGGTCAAAATGACGTTGCTTCAATCCAAGCTGCAGGGCTTCATAAATGGGGTGCAGTGAAAGTGAAAAGCCATGAACACTGAACCCAGCAGCAAGTTTGAAGACCATCCAGATCCTCATTCAGTCACCTCAACCAATCAGTCCTTACGATCTTTTGCCTGTTCAAACCAAGTTCTCCTGCGCGATTCCTCCTGTTCCAGGCAGAACAATCTAAGACACCTGTGACAGCGTCTCCAATACATGGACTGTCAATGTCCATCTGAAGATACTGCGACCTGCTTGCACTTTCTTTCATGGGGCATCCCGCATGTGCATGGGGCTTGCCGGACTGGCTAGCACGCGACTCCTTCTTGATGGCCCCCTCGTATACCAGTCTCCCTGATAAAACTCTGGACTCTCACAATCGCCATGCAAATGAGTGCATGACTCCTTTACATGTGCTAATTAGGCTCTTTTCTTTGCCTTTGCCCCTTTCCTCGCAGGCACCCAACGCCCAACGCCTCACTTCACCTCGAATCAATCACAGGATTGGGGGTCAAATGAAACAGTTTGAGGGGTTAAACAAAATGGGTTGGTCAAAAGAAAGGGTAGGGAGTCCAAACAAATGGGAGCCGATCAATCACTACCCAGCACGTCTGCTTCTGGCGTCCCAGCCGGCGCCGCCGTCTGCACATCACGGGGCAAGGCGTAGAGCACGGAGTCGAGCAGCGCGAAGACAAAGCGCTCGGTGGCCTTGACCTCAGGGAAGAGGAGAGGAGTAGAAGAGGGGTGTAGAAGGCTGAAAAGGGTCAAGGCCACCGAGTGCTCCGGGGCCTCGAAGGTCGCCAAGCCCTCTCCCCCCCTCAGTTGAAAGAGGGAGACGCCCAGGAGCCGCGTCTAAGGAATTGGATCGAGTTTGACATGTGCAAATGGAGAATCAGTGCGGCAAACATCGAAGTAGAAGTAGATGGCCCATGGGATTTCCGATGGTCCACGTACCAAACAGCAGGCGTTGGACCCATGGGGAAACTAAAATAGAGCATATATGTTGCAATCATCACCCTTTTGTGACCTTGTATGCTTGATAAATACGCTAAAACGTGTAAAATAAAAAAACCCACCTCCAACCACAAAGATCGGTGCTTTGACCATGTGGTCACGTCTAATATAACCAAACCACAGTAAACAGTATAAACTTTATAAACGCATATATATATATATTATAGTAGTATGTGTATTGTATATATAATAGCTATGGCAATTATGGGTGGGGGTCTTGCACCCCACTTTAAAGACATAAACATGGCCTGTCCAACCCCCTCTCGTCTATAATTTGAGAGGGTCTGAGGAAAACACCTTCTGTAAAAAAAAGGGGGGCCAACGTGTGCTACATGTCATCATGTCCTTGAAATCTACTATGAAATGAGGAGGGATACACATATTCTACATCTGTCAGAAACGGTATGGAGGAGTTGAAATGTAGAGCATGGATTGATGGCTGGTTAAGAAAGGGATTGATTGCACAATTCCGAAGGTACCATCGCCATGACAGCACAATCCAACCGGACCTAACCTTCTTGTCTGGAGCACAACGTGTAGCCACGGGTGATTGAGCGAAAAAGACATGATCTGAAATCTCAGACACACGAGACCTGTCCAATTCCGTTTCATTTTTGTATGCATCGCGATGCAACAGGCAAAA